GCTGTTTGTCAAGTAACTTTTAGTTATATATATGTGTGCTCTTATGAAATTATATTGGTCCCTTTAATCTTTGGTTATACTTCCCTTTTGGGTGTATATATACACATTTGATTTCATTTCCTTGAAAGCCCTGCCTGCAGGGTTGGCTTCTAAATTTACACCAAGTCACCACAAGGTGGCAGTAGCTTGCTGCAGTCTCTGGGGAGCGTGCCTTCCTTCTGGCAGTTTGTCAGTAATAATTGATTACCAGTCATGCCAACCAGGCCCTGCTGATTTGGAAAAGCTAAATAATCACAGTGGTCACTAAGTGAAAGTCAAGGGAATCAACTCTGGCTTTGCCACCTCAGCCCCTTGTTAGAGAAATGATAGTTTATGTCAGAAACTGCAGGGTACTTTTGAAGTCACCTGGTATCCAGACATTTAGTGTTTTAGTGTGTGCATGGCTGTTGGTGGAGGGCCACGCCTGGACAAACCTGACTGCTATATGGGTTGAGTAGCTTCCAAAGAATTTTTAAGTTTATGTAAATAGAAGTATGGAGGGCAGGGGGTCACATAGGCCTGAAAGCTGTTTCCTGGTGGTAGATGTTCCCTGAGGAGTGTGCCTGTTGTCAGCTGTAAGGTTGTTGGGGTACTTTATATTTGTGAAGGGGGGTGGTTATCCTTTGCCCTGAAGCCTTATTTTATTACTTTAATGATAGGGGGGCAAAATTATTGGGAAGTTTAGTTTCATCTATTTGATTTTTTTTCACCCCCTCCACACACACAACTGAAATCTAAGTCCTATCAAGAGTAATTAGAGGGCTAGAGAGATGGCTCAGCAGTTAAGAACACTGGCTGCTCTTGCAAAAGGTTCCCAGCACCCACGTGGCAGCTAACAACTATTCATAACTCAAGTTCCAGAGAATTCCATGTCTCTTTACTGCTGTGGGCATTGCATGACATGGGTGCACTTACAGGCAGGCAGTATACTCATACACATTAAAAAGTAAAAATTAAAAGAGTAATTGGAGCAACAGTTTCATAGGAGGGTGTGAGTCCTTGAAAGAGTGACAGTGGGGACAGACTGAGACAGAACTTGGGTAAGGTGCAGTAGTGGGTGCAGTAAGAGCTATGGGAACTGAGAGTGAGTCTGTGGAGCAGGATGGGGGCTGCTGATGGATAGTTCTATAAAGAAAAGCCACAGGTTTTTAGGGGTCTCCTCAAATTGTCTGTTCCAGAAAGAGCAAAGGTTCAATCATTGAGACTATTCACCCAGAAAGATAGCACAAAAGAGGAGGCAAGGACATGCAGAATCAGGTTTACCTTGCTTACCACGTATGTTCTCCTACTTAGAGAAAGTAGACAGGGTACTTGGCTGCCACAATCTGTTAATTGCTTCAAAATAGCCCGATTCTTAGGAACGCATCTGTTCATAAGAGTTTTATGAAACTTGGGAATATAGTTTCCCAACTTGTAGCAACATGAAAGGAGTTGGTAAGCATAAGGTCATGTTCCTGCTCATGGTCAGGAGGCCTCTGTGGGACCTGTGCCAGAAACCTGAACATTTGGGGGCTTGAGAAGATGGCTCAACAGGTAAAAGCCTGCCTAGCCGTACAAGCTGCACCTTAGTTTGATTCCCCAAAGCCATGTAAAAGCAGATGTAGTACTGCCCATCTGCAATCCCAGTGCTCCTGTGTTGAGATGGGAGGCAGAGATAGGAGATTGGAAGCTGCTTGCAGGCCGTCTATCCTGCTCTACACAGCTCAGCAGATGAGGCCCGAGAGACCATGCCTCAACAAGGTGGAAGAATATACTCCTGAAAGTTATCCTCTGATCTACACCATGATGTGTGCGCACACATTTTTTTAAAGTGCTCAGTCCTTGACCAGCTGCCTTCTGACCCAGATTCATCACGAAAAAGTACTTAGGTTGTTAAGTTCTCAGCACCCACTTTGGGTGACTCAAATGCCCGTAACTGCAGCTCCAGGGAATTTGACTCCTTTAGCCTCCACAGGCCCCCTCACTCACACGCACATACCCACACACAGACATGTACACATAATTAAAAATAAAAAAAGTATTGTTTAAAAAAAAATCTAAGTTGTCTGCATGCTTCATTCCAAAGAGGCCTTTTAACATTTAAGTGTGCTGTCTAAAATAGCAATTTCTGAGGTTTAGGGGAGTATGTTTTTCTGTCGTGAGAGTAGGGTATGTGAATAGATGAAATGTCAGTAGGAAAATGATTTTCAAAGTAGGCAGTAGAGAGTTGCTGGGCTTGATCCACTGTGAAGTGGGAGTGCTCCCTGCCCTGCAGGTTACTTGAGACCGGTAGGAGAGCTTTGGAAACGACATTGCTCATTTCCAGGGCCTACTAACAGAGCGACTGATTTTCATAAGTGTTTAGGAAGACATCGTTTCACTGAAACTAAAACTAATAGGGAGTTGGAGGCCCCTGTAACTCTGAGGGAGTACTTACTGAGCATGCACAGGGCCTGGGTCCAACCCTCAGTGTCCCCTGAACTCTCCTTTTCTGTTCTTCTGTTCTTTCACGGTTCCTGTTCTCCAGTTCTGATTCAAGCACTCTTTCCCAGAGAAGACCTTTACCCCTAGTTTATGATAGTTCTATAGCTTTCTCCCATGGACTGGTAGATTTTCTGTCCTGGTGGGCAGTGTTAACAGCCCCGTGAGTAAGGGCCAGTAAAACATGGAGAAGAAAACGGAAAGGCATTTGGTTAAAACCAAAGAATCAGCTGGCGATTTCCTTCTCATTTTTCCCATGAGTGTTCAATCCATACCAGCTCTCATAGTGATCCTGGACTTCAAGAAATTCTTTAAATGGATGCTGCAGAGATGACTCAGTGATTAAGAGCATTAACCACTTTTGCAGAGGACCTAGATTCAGTTCCCAGCACCCACATTGAGCAGGTCACAACCCTTGTAGCTCTAGTTCCAGGGAACCCAATGCCTTCTTCTGGCCTCCATGAGCATCAGCACACATTTAGTGCACCTTAACTCAGGCATAGACACACATAAATTAAGAATAAATCTTTTTAAAAACCTTACTAATGTGTGTGGTGCATACACGTGTATGCATGGGGGGAACTGTGGGTGCACTGTGGTGTGTGTGTGTGTGTGTGTGTGTGTGTGTGTGTGTGTGTGTGTTTGATGCCTGGTATCTTCTACCACTTTCCACCTTATTTTTAGTTTTCATTTTTGAAATAGGGTCTCTCACTGAAGCTGGACATTTTCAGCTAGACTGGCTAGCTAGCCAGTGAGCCCCTGGAATCTGTCTGTCTCTACCCTGACTCGGGGCTGGGGTTATCCTCCACTTTTAGACAGTTTCTATGGACTCAAACTCAGGTCCTCATACTTCCTCGACAAGCATTTTACCCATGGAGCCCTCTTCACAGCTGGTCCCAAGACCTTCCTCATAAGGTCCCAAGAACAGACCAACGTTTGCTCTGGGAACCAATGACTATTGGGCTTACTTAGAGAGCATGAGTGAGGGGTTACTGCAAAAGCATAGGTGATCCTAAAGCAACCTGACTAGGAAGTCTTCACTCAGTGTGAATAATGACTTCCCCATAGCTGCATAGACAGAACCCCCTTCAGTTAACCTCCTCCAGCCTATACACTCTAGCATCTCTTGAGTTCTGGAGGTCATGTACAACTAGGGAAGAATTGGATACAAATGGATGGGAAGAACAGCTGGATTTCAGGTGAAGGTCAAGTAGCCCTCCCCACCCTCTCCTCTGAGGAGATGTCAGCAGACTTGAGCACGATGGCACAGCTGTTGTGATGATGGCTGTTTTGCGTGAGGACCATTCTAGGTCACTCCACTATCCCTGGCTCTTACGTTCTTTCTGCCCCACCTACTTATGCAATACTCCTTGGAGGGGAAGGCACAGACACTTGACTACTCTCCAACTCCAGTGGGGTATTGAGCCCTCATGTCCCCCCAATCTCTAGAGCATGGCTGGTGGTGTCTTTTGGAGGTAGCCCTACTATAAAATAAAATTGAGGAAAAATAAAAAGATCCAAACAAATAGAACATAACAGCAGTAATTAAGTAAGGGTATAAGCACACAATTTTTCATTGTTCTCCTAAATGGGGCCTATGACTTCCTCAGATGTAGATTTTTTTTCCTTCCTTCCTTCCTTCC